TGAACAGCTGATGATGCAGACCTTAAATGTAATGTTCTGAGCACAGCAGAAAATGATTGCCTGTTAATTTGTCACGAGAAGTGATTATAATTTAATCAAAGTAAAATAAACTTTTTAAAATATATGTGTGTATATGAACAAATAATAAAACCATTTGACTCGAATATTGTTTTATCATTGAGACGTCGCCGTTCGGTCCGTGTTTGTTTATTGATTCAATTTGATGCCGTGGAATATAGAACCACACCACTCAAGCAATCCAAACCAAACTTATGTAGAACAGTGCAGATATCGCAAATTGAAATCTATTCAAAATAAAATATAAATTGTAAAATTACTAAATGTTCAATCTTAAGTATAATTCAAAAAAAATTTTAATAAAATTAAACAATTGTCAGATCAAAAAATTAAAAAACTGTAAAATATATTTCAAAAATATTTTATTAAGTGTTTAGTATGTTTGTTAAAAGTTTCAAATTAATAATTCGCAATAAAAACGTTATTTAGACAAATTAATTAGAAAAGACGAAAGGTTCTCAATAGAACTTAAATAATTCACTTCAAGTATAAAATAAAAAATATCACAAATGTTTATCAGAAATCAACATACATTGCTAGATACTACCAGCAGTAGCAGTAGTAGCACAAGCAGTGGAGGAGTAGTTGGAAGTGCCAGCAGCAGCAGTATAGGTGAGAGCGGTAGCGCCGAACTGCTTTGCAGTTCCGGAAGCGGTCCTTCTGCTGCTTGTGATGATTGTAATCCTACCACAAGTAATAATGAAACCGGAAATAACAATAATGCAAAGAAAAATCTTAATCTGAGTTTGACCTTAAATAACAATAATAACAACAATAATAACAATAAAAAGCTTATAAGTAGCATTGGTGGTATTGGTGGCAGCATTTGGCGTTCAGTTACTTCTGCTTCCACAACCTCTTCATCGACTTCATCAGCTTCACCAACTTCATTGTCTACTGGTAGCACTTCAAGTGCCACAGTGGAACGTTCTAAACATTTATTGAAAACTGTTTACTCTAGCGGTGCTAGTTTGGACGGTACCTTTTTTGGCAGCGGTGGAAGGGATAGCGTTGGAGACAATAGTGCTATCATAAAAATGGACGAAGATTCTATGGAAGAGGAAGCATCTGTAAATATCTTTTATTGTACTTTATTAATATTTACAATTTATATAATATATAATTTGGTAACTTATAATATAAGTATTAATTAGTGCTTAAAATAGTATTTCAGCTGTTCGAATTGTCATGTACATATGCTCGAGCATTTTTTCGAATACCACTTTATAATCGAACATTTTGCGTTATATCTGTTAGTATAAAAGTAAAAAAAATGAAAAATCCAGCAGATTTACTTGGTTTTCGAACCTCATCAAGAGCCAAATGTTCGAATTTGATCATACTCAAGCATCGTAATATGCGAAACAGTTTAAAGCTCTGGTATAAAGTAAAGGAAATGAAAAATCAAGCAGATTTGCTTGGTTTTCGAACATCATCAAGAGCCAAATGTTCTAATTTGATCATACTCAAGCATCGTAATGTGCGAAACAGTTTAAAGCTCTGGTATAAAGTAAAGAAAATGAAAAATCAAGCAGATTTGCTTGGTTTTCGAACATCATCAAGAGCCAAATGTTCGAATTTGATCATACTCAAGCATCGTAATGTGCGAAACAGTTAAAAGCTCTGGTATAAAGTAAAGAAAATGAAAAATCAAGCAAATTTGCTTGGTTTTCGAACATCATCAAGAGCCAAATGTTCGAATTTGATCATACTCAAGCATCGTAATGTGCGAAACAGTTTAAAGCTCTGGTATAAATCCTTTTATATTTTACAGAAGATTAGGTATCTATATCATAAGTCATTTTAAAAGTTTACATCATTTTAAATTTATTTATTTTTTTTTGTTTTAAATATATAAATTATATTACTAATATTATGAATTCAATTGAAATGATTATTATGATTGAGTAGCATATTTTTAAAGGATTTAAAAAAATTATAACAATTGTAATCAAAATCGGTTATAAGGACTTTCACCCTAAAAGATTTAAGGACTGTTTGCAACTTTTTAAAAACCATTTAAGAATGATTTCAAAAATTCTAATTCGGTACTGTAGGTTAAACTAACACCTTACAAAACAAGAAAATGAGACCACAGAACATATACTTCGATTTCGTTTAGCGCTAAAAAACATATTAGGAGTTTGCCATAAGAAACCATATGAATCTTCATATTAAAAATAAAAATTGAGTCTTAACAGAGTGCTACGATTTGTCGATGAAATTAAACCCTGAGATATAATCTCAAAAAAATCAAGGAATAATTTAAATAAAATTCAAACATTTAAATATTATATTCAGTATTTTATATTATATTCTTCAGAACAAGCTCTTTTCGATTCCGTATACTACCAACATTTACATATATCCCTCTTCTAAGCCTTTTTAAAAGCTACAATTTTCGTTATGTCTGTGAACCATTACGGTGAATTTTTTAATTCAAAAACCCCTTTAATTCATAAAAATTGTTGTTCCCTCGCGATTTCGAATTATCGGGATTCGACTGTATTTCTTAATAAATAGAATATCGGGTGTAATAATTATTTATTGTATGATTTTAAAATTGTACGAAAACATATGTAGAAGTATGTAAAAAAATCTTTTTGAACGACTTGAGCAAATTATGTAGACATAAAAAACCACTTTTTATGCTCTAAGTCTTAAAGCTTATCATTTCTCCAAGGCTGGAGATAATAATCGTATGATATTTTGTTTTCTTAGATGCTCTTTTTTTTCGATTGGCATATCAATTAGATGAAAAGCTCTAAGCAATTAATAAAGATAATACGAATATAAATCAATTTTTGATATTCATCAAGGTTTTTTGCAAATGCTGGCTAAATGAAAACTCCGTACATTCTTTTTAAATTTCATAAGAAGTAACTTATTTATTTAAACCGATAATACTACTCTCACTTTATTGCTTTGAAGCGCTAACGTTTTTAAATATTATCAAGTTTAAATTAGGTGGAATATTGTAACACTTACCACCAATGGTTCAAAATTAATTTAATAAGTTCTGTAATAGATATACATTTACCCACATACATTTTAACGTTGTATAACAGCCCGTAACACTCTCCTCTTTTGATTCCCTAGCACCGCAGTTATTCATACAAATTAGTCCCATGTCAACATTGACTTTTCTAATAAAACTTTTGCAATGAACCTCCCTCGTATCTTTTATTTAGTTGCTATTTAATCGTCTATATTGATTTACAATTTATATATATATATATATATATACTCGTATATGCAAAATGTTACTTTTGTCCAGCAAGTGGCATTAAATTAAATATTTCATTAAAAATTCTGTAATCAAAAGTAACTACAAAAAAGGAGAATCGATAGTTTTACGACACTAATAATAAAACACAGTACTAGGAAATGCAAAGGTCTTCCATGATATATGGAAGATATATTTGATTACAACATTTTTTAAAGCTTTAATACGAGTAAAATTAAAGTTAAGAGCGACACTTTAATTAATGCAAATCAACTGTTTTTTTTTAATTAATATATATATATATATATACTTTTTTATAATAAATATTTTTACACATATTTAATTATTATATTTTACCTATATTAGTACTGTGCTTATATAATACATAAATAACACAAATAATTATTCAACTTTCATTAACCCAAGTGTATGGAATTTTTAATTGCTTTTAATCGGGGCTTCGAACCAAAATTTTTCATTCCGGCTTCTCTCTTAGTTCAATTAAATAAAAAATATAACGCTTTCGGTTGGGTTCCGACAAAAATTTAATATTTTTCTCTTGGTTTAGTTCTGAGTGAACATTTTTTTATAAGACCTTTTCTAACAAATTTAATCCATAAAAAAAACAAATAACTTAAAAACAAAACATTTATAAATAAAGACGGTTCTTGAGTGTTTATACATAAGAGTTTTAACATCTGAAAAATAATCCGAAGAATAAGCAAGTCCATACTTTTTTAGTTCAATTTTGGTTTACATCGGTTTTCGGTTAAAAAAATATTGTTAAAAATATTGGTATTTTTCGGTTTTCGGTTTATGACTCATTTTTGTTTTAAGGCCCAGGTTTTAACGCTTCTAGTGGTTCGAATATTATTGTAACTATTCGAGGACTTTGACTTTTTAGAATGCTTTTGCATTTACATTTGAGACGAATACAGCAGGATGCTTGAAAATATTTTAACACGATTTGGGGTAATACGTATTTAATTAGGTTACAATACACTCCCCGTATACCGGCAATGGGTTCGTAGCGTTTCTCGTTGTTCGTGTTAAAAGATGTTTTCTCAGTTCAAACATTTTCGAAAAATTAAACTTCGATTAATATGTTCGAAGTCGTGTATATTCGGACTTTGCAGAGCATCGCAGAGATTGAACATTTTTAATCATTAATTTATACTGTTGTTCTACTAACATTATGGTGATCTTTTACTGTAAGTCTGCAGTAGCTAGACTATGGCACAATATTCTGTATGACAATCGAATTTGTGTTCGATTGTCACTACGCATAGTTTTCGAATTTTCTCTACGAAAAAAACTTTGTACATTTTAGTGAGACTTTATGTAAAAATCTTGCCAAGTTCCTGCCAGTTTAAAGGTTGGGTTAGATCGCAAATCCTATAGTTTATAATTCTTTATCCTTAAGCCTTATTCTTACAGTTTTTTTCGTAATACTGCCATAAAATTTATTACGTTTGTTTTGTTTAACTTCAGTTGCTTCAATTTAACCTTTACAATGCATATGCCCACATTTTATGTAATGAAGTATATATAAGTATATATATATATTAACTATATATATTATAGTTAAAATTGATAACGTGGTATTTTTCTTATAAAATATTTTTACACAACGCTACGGTTTTTAAATTCCTATTAATAATTGGATATGAATTTTAAAAGTTAATGGTTTATTAAATTTTTCGAATCAGTGTCAACTTTCCTTATTATATTATTAAGCAAAATCAATTACTACTCGTGTAGTTAAATAACTCTCATGTGATTGCTTTGTTTGTATTTTTTAATTAAAAATTATTAAAAATAAAAGTTTAAATTTTTTAAATGGTTCTGCAATTCAGCAATTACTGCCAGCTTTTAAATGTAGAAATAGTGAAATTAAATACTCTTACACTACATGTTTTGCTATACATTTTAATTTATACAAATAATTTATTTGTATATCTTAATTGAATCTAGACATGTGTCTATAGTCCAATCATTTTTATGATTTAATAAAAATTTTATTAGTTCTATTTAGCAGCACTTAATAATAAATATTTCATTTAATCTGCTCTTAAAAAATTCAATTTCTAATACCTAATATACTATATATTATATAATTATATAATGGTTATATATATATATATAACCAAATAATTTGTCCGTCACTTCTATATGGTTGTGTAGCGTTTAGCAAAGCTTCAAACACTACTATTTGCCAGCTAGAAATTGCACAAAGCCTGGCTCTGAGAAGACTTTTCAAAGTATCATGGTACATTAGAACGAATGACATCCTCAGGGTCCTCAAGATTGGTCCCATCAAAAAATACATAAAGGATAGAGTCCCGAAATTATTTGCGAAAACTGACAGACTTACCAACCGCGTTATCAAATCTCAGAATGGTTACAGGCTCCTCGGGGAGGTATGCATTTATTGCTTAGTCTGATGAAGTGATAAACAATAATCCAGTCAAGGCGTATAGAGGGGTTTTGAAAATATCTCGAGTAAAAGTACTCAAGTGCACTGGCTCAAATAGCTTCAAAATAAGATTAATTTTTTAATGTACATTATCATACCAAATCAAATTTAAGTACTCTTATAGTATAGTAATACTTATATATAAAATGCCTAGTATGTAGAAAATAATGACATTATATCCTGGAAAGAACTTGAACAGAAATACGTTAAAAAGATTTAGCTTAGCTTACTTTCATTATACATAAAGTATATATTTTTAATATGAATTTTAAGTAATATCCCCAATACTTAGAAATGATCATATTTTACTACATAACTAAACGCTTCAGCAACATAGAAATCAGGGTGAATGAGAATACTCTCTCAATTGATTCATATTGGGTATGAGAATATTAATTGTATTTTGTCTTTAATATATTATCTGTTAAAAAGTAAAAGTGTATTTCTACCTTCAATTATATTCCTTCAATATGAAGGGATCATGTACAATAATCTGATACCCGACTAAAGACTCCGTTTAATATTCTTCAAATTCTATTTGACTCTATAAAATTGAATTGTGGGTTTTAATTCCATCAAAAGTTGGTTATTCTTCTCTATAATGAATCGTTTAAAGAATTTTTTTTTTTGTCTATAATGTAGAGGTGTAAACGTTAGAATAATATCGCATTTATAATCTAATTACATATATACAAAATTATTGCAGCTAATTGCAATTATTAATTAGCCTCATAAACTAAAAATAAAATTTTAAGTTTCACAGATGTTTCACAGGTTTCACAGAACACAGAGCTACAATTGTAAAAAAAATTTGTGGAAAGCACATTGTAGCATGTCAGCTCTTTAATCGAATTTCAGGATTGCTTAAAGTTCAACGTCATTCAACTCTCCAAATTATGGGTTTTTAGACGTTTTTAGATGAGATATATGCATATAAATTTTCCAAAGTTTCTGTCTTCCAGCATTTTCTACATAAACTTAGTTCCGTCAGTATATCTATGATATTTGTTTAGTGACAGGACTAGTTCAACTCACCAATAATTGACTTTTCATAACTTCTTAAGTAAAATTTTTTAGAGATATCTACAGTGTCCGCTCGGTATTCGCGACTAATTAAAAATCAGAACTATTGTGGAAACCGAAAACAATATATGCACTGTATATATTGTTTTCTTGATCCTATAACAAATAAATTCTGGTTTGGGCAAAATTTCTTTAAATTCTTTTTTTCCTGTTAATAATTCTAGGGACTGATATCCGGAAAATATTCAACCATCAGTTCGCTGCTAATCATACCAAAATTTCATTGCTCTTTAAAACATTTTTGAACGTAATATGGAATCCGAAAAATATTTTCGTTTTTCTCTGTTTCACTGTAACAATATAGGCAAGCTTTACGAACTTCTCTAGAACAAAGATATGCAGTCTAGAACCTTTAATTTACTTAAAATATGTGCTATAAATTTTTAAAATATTTCTTGAGATACAGTTTGACATAATTATTTATGTAATAGATGTATATGTAGAAGTTTACAAATTTATAATATCGCATGTTATAAAAAATATAATATTCAAAATATTTAATATAATATTTATTTTTTATTCCATTATAGAACACATTCCTCAGTTCCGCAGATCCTGATGATGAACTCATTAAAAAACTGCCAAAAGAAATCCTTTTACGTATATTTTCATACCTGGATGTGGTATCTTTATGCAGATGTGCACAAGTAAGTTAATATATATTCAATATGTACACGAACTTAATTAATGTATATGAGTATAAAATATATATTTTAAAGAATATACGTACAATTAAATAAATTAATAGTCAGTTTATGAAGTTTAAATGCTTTATAGAAAAAAGTGGAATTAATTTTCAAACTCTTTTTTTTAAAAATAATAGAAATTATTTCGCTCTATAGAGAATAAATTAACAAAGTTTAATGTGTAATGTGAACTTAATTGATAAGAAATTTAATACGAGCTAATGTTCATTAACAAGATTTTTTTTAACAGTCGGGTGGACATATCCCAAAACTGCCAATATTATGGCTACCCGGATATGTCCACCCGATTGTTACAAAAAATCTAGTGGTCAGCTCCACTCCTTAAATTTGTTGTTATTCGTGTTTTTTTTAAACAGACTATAGTGTTAATTTGCATTCCTTAATATTAATTTTCTATTATTTACTGCTTTCCATTCACCAATTCTCAATTCCAGAATATAGCTGGACATTTAGCAATTAAATGCTCTTTCAAATAGATTTTTTCTTCGTTTTCGCAGCAGTATAGGCGGGCATTTAATTTACAAGTGCTTAATTAAGCATTAATTAATTGTAGTTGTTTTAGTTTGCAATAACTTCACATACGATTTTTAAATTCCAAATCTTTTGTCATAGTGAGTCCTCTTCTTTTTTAGTTTTGCTAAAGAACAAGAATTTCATTTTGTGGTATCTCCGCATGTGATTTCTAAATTCCAAATCTTTTGAGTCATAGTGGGTCCTTCCCATTTTTAGTTTTGTTATAGAGAAATAATTTCATTTTGTGAAGTATCAGGTTACAGATTCATAATAACCTGTATCAGGTTCACAATAACATTACTCTTCGAATACATTAAGATATAAGATTACACTTAAATCACAAATGTAAACTTATAATAGTTTAATGTATGATAACTTTATACACATGAAGTTAGTATAATATTAGCTAATTATGTCTTTAGCTCTCTGTTAAAAGTGTTCAGAAATTTCCACAATTCACTAAATCGTCTTAAGTAGAGGTATCACAATGAACTGTTGTGTCAGTTGGAGAAATGAACTGGCTACCACAGTAATCTCTGACCTTATTTACTATAACATAAAATAAATGGCGTTTCTTATGGCAATAAAAATATGAACAACGTATTTTCTTAAACAAGACAGAATAATTAAATGAAGGATAGATATCCTATATTATCTTATAATTAATCTGTAATTATTGTAACTATCTATAACTATCTAGTCTATATTCTTTTATTAATATTTTATATTATATTATATATATATGTTGTTGTTGTTGTTGTAATTTCAGTTAGTGCTATTGCGCACTTTTACTCTATTGTGGCTGGAGGGCTTATCCCTGCCCCACACTAAACTTTAACTATACTAGAATCATTATCATTTATTTATTTTCTAACTGATGACAGACCGTAGATCAGCATATCTTCCTGTGCGTCCTGAAGTGGACTTAAGGTTTGTTAGAGATTAGAGCGGGGTTGAGCAACGTATCAACTTTTTTGAATAATTTTAGGGCTCTGTGCTTGATATACTTTTTTACTTAGTCGATTCTTAGATTATGGTTTATTATATATATTATATATTATATTATATATTATATTATATATTATATTATATATATTATAGGATTGATATCCCATTCTTATGCTTATAGAAAACTTTCAGTTAATAATATATTCTAAAAATTGAAATAACTCTATCATGTATTTTTAATTTCTGAATTAAATTCAACAATTATTAAATTTTTTTTATACAATTCACCTGACATATTCTGAAATATACTATATTATTGCAATTTATCTGAAGTTTAAAATAAATATTAGCATTTCCAACCACGCCTTTTATTTGAAGCTGTTTATTTCATATTTATTTCATAAATGCATTAACAAAACCAGACAAAAAGTTGAATTGCATAAATTTATTTACGTGCCCAATAAATGCAACAGTTAATAAATTAATTAATATTAATGTGCCAATTGCATGAGCCGTAAATGGAAATATTAATTCGCATAATATGTAAATTAATATGTGCGCCAGGGAGTTGGAGACAGCAGATCAATTTCTTCCGCATAGCAAACGAAAAACTTACTTTAAATTAATTTCCCTCAGCCAGCAACTTGTAAATTTATCCGCCAGACACAAAGAACCGAGCAGCACCGCATTTGAGCATTTGAGTAAATCCGAACGACCATTGTCGTCAGTGTTCTTAATGTTGCAGTTGCTCTGAGGATGGGGTTTTTAGTGCTCAGACATTTCGTAGACACAAAGCTTCTTTGTTTTCCTAACCTAACCAGACCAACAAACCAACTCGAGTGCAAGTATGAAAACACTTTTATGATAGTTTTTATGTTGTTGTTATGTTATTCCTTTTAGGGTTGCAGAGCAAAAGGAGTTTATTGCATCTTTTTTATTTAATTCATTTATTTGCTTCATTATAGTGGTTCTCTTCGACTGAAAACTTTGGAGGAGCATTCGCTAAGGTCTTGCATTAGAATCCACATTTAATCTAACAAACAATCAAAATCATTTGAAAACGTGAAATTACACTGGAAATTTTATATTTAACAAGTCACGCACTTACAAGGACTTTTATTATATTTTGCGAACTTCATTTTTCATTTAAGTTTAATTGAAAAAGGAAAATGGAAAAATTGAGTGTTGCTTGAATTTTTTACTTTATTGATTTAAAAATCTAATTTTCATTTCATTCATTTAAAAACTTTCATACAAATTAAATTTTTTTATACATAAAAAATTAAAAGGAATTTTATCGCCTGCATTTTCATTCCATTCCTTCTGAAGAAAAATTTTGCTAAAAGACCTGTGCATATCGGCAAACACACAAGTGGCTTGGTATGAGATGGAAAGTGTAATATACCATAAATATATATAAGACTTTGTGCATATATATTCTTATTATTATTATTTTTGGATTTTTCGATATTAGGCCAAACAACGTATAAAATTGTGAAACTTTCTCTCGAGAGTTGCGGTTATAAATTAAATATCCACGTGAAGACAACAGTTATAATATAAAGAATCGGTTATATATAAAATGAATACTCTTATATCATACGTCTGATAGTTGCTGATTTCTCTTAATATACTAACTTAACAACTTTTATGATTACTTATATTGGGTGATATAAAAGCTATTCACCGTTTTTTGGTACATTTCTGAAGAAATATATCCCTTATTGGAAAACAATTTTGATAAAGTAAATATTAGTCATTATTATTTATGACCTTTCACCATATTTCGTTTAGTTTTATTATTCCATCGGTGTAAAATTTATATGGTGTATCAGCGGTTTTTCGATTCTCCTTCTCTTAATAGTTGCCAACTTTTTACCATAACGACAGTTTTGTTGTGACCGAAACAAATGGTAGTCAGATACTGTAAGGTGCGGACTATAGAGTGGATGCATCAAAACTTTTCAACCAAGTTCGACCAATTTGTTTCGAGTCATCAAAGATGTGTGTGGACTGGCATTGTCATGAGAAAATATGAATCCCTTTCTGTTGGCCATTTGTGATCGTTGTTCTTTGATTGTTTCATTCAAGTGTTCGAATTATAAACAGTAAAGAAACAAATTAATATTTCAATTATTAATAGACAATTCCATTTCAATCCCAACAAACATATAACAATACCTTATTGATGGTAAGATAGTTTTGTAATCCTTTGTGGAAGATTATCAGCCGTTGAACATTATCAACTTGCTATAAATATGCTCGCATTCAATCCATTTTGATCGCCCGTAATAATTCGCATCAAAAAAGGTTCAATTTCGTTGCGTTTTAGTGGCGTTTCACTGATAGTAATTCAATCAAGCGAATTACTTTACGTTACTTTATGTGCTTCCTAAACAATAGGGATCCCTGCGTTATCTGTTTTTTTTTCAATGACTTTAGAGTGTCATATCGTTCATGTTTAGTACCTCCGCTAACTCCTAACAGCTTGCGTGTCGGCCTTGCTTCATTAGTTTTAAAATTATATTTTAAACCCTTAAACGTTCCATACCTAGCAAGGAACGTCAAACCCCTTAGTTGTCTTAAAATCTCTTAACTAATTCCGGTATTAGATTTTGAGACCGTACCAATGAATATCGTAGGTCCCGAATATGGCTTTTTCAATGGTACGAATTTTCAACGTCTTGACTTTATGGAAACGAACTTTTAGGGGTGTACGTCTTATATATTGAACACCGATTGAAGAATCGATCTATATTGGTTTTTGCACCACTTGATTGCATAGTTTTTATACGAGTATTGTTTAATTTGATTGACGTGCAATTGCCTCTTCTCCCCAATGATGAATGTGACATAAATAGATTTATTTTTATTTTCTTTGTAGTTTCTTTGTAGCTTTGTAGTTGTAAAGAGATTTCTGTGGGATCTCTTACAGTAGTGGACTTTGTTGTGAAGTTCCAGTTAGGATTCTAGCCATTGTTGAGAGGTTGTGTCTAAAAAACTTCTAAATGATAAGGCTGAGATCTTAGAACTGATAAGAACTTTCTGATTATCTCTTATACCACTATATATTTTTAATAGAAAATATGTATGTAGTGAAATTAAAGCGTTGGCGTGGCGTATAAGGTTTCGGGGATTAGTTTTAAAAATGGAGAAATTTATTGCCAAAAAACCTAGCAAATTTCTAAATTATAAACTTATTTTTGGCATCTGCTTTCTAGTTTTTATAGCAATGGAAGAGTAAAACTTAAAAAAAAATGTATATTTTGATTCTAACGTTATTCTTTATTCTTTGTTTATTAAAAATTAAAAAAATTTTATTTTTTTATTGCAAAAAAAGATTGCATAAATTCACTAATTTATTTGATCAAGAACGATTACACTCGTATATTACGTTTTATATTATTTTTTCTGATAAACAAATATCGGTTATTTATAAATAAAATTATATTTCCACATTTCGTAAGTAAACGAAATGCTAACACCAGCTAATGTCAATTCACGCAGTTGGAGAACTTCGTTATAGTTTATCAAAATTCCGAAATTTAGTAATTCTTCAGAGGGGAAAGAAGGAGGCATTAAGAACAACTTTGTGTTCCCGTCACTGTTGTTTTGATTGTTGTTTTATGGACAGAGAGCGTCATCACAATCGTTAAAGTTCAGTTCCCGGAGTGTGACTACCATTTTCGGTTGTCGGTTGTCGGTCGTTGACTAATGTACGATGGTTTGCGTCGCTGAGGTCATGGAACTCTGAGGCATGTTTTTCGTATTTTTGTTTTATGCTCGCAATTTTATGCTATTCAACTTAGACGCAGTTAATCTCTAAATTCTTGTGGTAGGTCAATAAATGGTTCTTATTTTTTACTCATTTTTGCAAATAAAAAGTTGATTTTTACACATTTCTACATAATATACCACATATTTAAAAATGTTAATTTCAATGTTGGAATGCTGAACTTAGCTTGGATATCCTTTCTTGTTTCTTTTTGCCATTCTGGAATTTATTGCAGCGAAGTCACATCAGTTCAAGTTTATTGAACCAAGCAATAATTTATCAAGACAAGTTATTTCAAGCAAATGGTGATGATGATTTATCTGCTGGGCTGAGAGCAAACTAAAACGATTTCAAATTTGTGTATGTTTGTGAATTTATTTATTTTAAATTTAGAAGTTCAATACAATTTGTAACAAAACGGTATATACTAATCTTTTACCATTTTCACACTTTTAAAAAATAATGACATAAATAATTAGCATAGTTTTAGTTAAATTAATGTCAATACTTTCAAAACCAAACAATAGAGGTTTTTCATTTGATATATTCTACTATAGAGATTACTTATTATTTGATTGATTCTATATATAGTATACTAAAGTATCTGGAGTTTTTAGAAAAACCATATTAATAATTAGCACTCAATCAAAATTTATTTTATCGCAGAAGTGCAATGCTACAACTATTTGGCATAGTCAACATTTTTTGTTGGCTTATTTAGACATAGCCATAGCCTTCAACTCCTGTGAATTTTCTTTTATGTCCAGACAATTTAAGCTTTGAAAAAATCTTATAAGGTCCTGTCAATTAAGTACGATGGTTGTGTTTCTTTTGTGAAAAACTCAATCTCATGGGGTTATACGGTCGTTAGTATACCAGTTTCGTTGCGTTTTTTTTGTCGAAGCCTCTAGCGCAACAATAGATTTGTGCGATGGTCCATTATTCAAATGTACAATCCATGAATTGGGTTGCATAAATAGGATCGTTTCGGTGGATAGTCTCGCATAAATTAAAACTCAAGATTACTGATGACGGGTATTTGGCAATACTCGAAGCAGCTGTATGGTCAACCAAAAATTCAATTAATTAAAATAATATAAAAAAAGACGGATTCGAATAGTGAAGAAAAGACAAAGACAAAAATTTTATTATAGTTAAACTAACTAAAATTGTTGTCTTTGTCTTTTCTTTGCTATTCGAATCTGTCTAACTTTTAAATTCGTCATAAAGACGCATCACTCTCGGCAAAAAAAAATTAACAATAAAAATAATTTTTGTTGTTATAGTTCACTACTTTTCGAAACCTCTCAATCAAAATTTTTAATGTGTTTTTCATTTTTTATTCTTTTATTTGTTCTTTGACTTCTGTATATATAAACGAACTACATAGACCACAGAATATGGAAGGAATTCATACAATAATATTTCAATATAACGAAAGAAAACTCTTTACATTGCCTTGACTATATTGGCGTGGTCATATCTCTCGTTTTGCAAGTTATTGACTTAAATGGTCGGTTGTTTTCGACCAAGTAAAACTTTCTAAATGGTCTGGACTGATACAAATAAACGATTAACAGATTCAGGAAAGTCTGTAGTGTCGCTTGAGAACCAAATCTTTGATTTCCTTGACGGGTTACTCATCAGTTAATGTTGATGGTCATCTAAGGCGTTTTATTTTGTCTTCGACGCTTTCTCCGCCTTTTTTGAATTGTTTATTCCATTTTTGTGACATAGTTTGGCAGCACCAGGCAGAAGCTGTATTTGCTAGTAACTGATTTTAAGTTTAGTGTATTACAATTTTTTTTAATTATGTTATAAAGATATATCAGAAACTAATATTGGAAGTCTCACAAAACTGTCAAATAAAATAAATTGGTTAAAATCACATAAATTAATCAAATATGTGTCATAGAGAAGTCCACTAAAAAATCAAATCACTTGAATGTGGAACATTTTACACAAAAGCACTATGACAACTCAACAGACCAATAGGTCACACGTTTCGTTTAGAACATAACCTAGCCTTACCTATAGTAATATCTCTACAATATTCAAAATTGTTTGGATTTTTTTTATTAAAGGTTTTTAAGCCCATTACTATATTTCGCCCTGAAAAAGAATTCAAATAAACTTGATGAAATTTGTATAAGAAATAATTATAAAAATACAAATAAAATATAGTAAAAAGTATATAGCCTTAGTTTTTTTAATTTAACTGTTTATAAAAGCCTTTAATGGTAAATATATTGTTTCATATTAATAATAGTATCGGATATCAGAAATGTATATCAGAAATGTAAACACATATTTCGATTTGAAAAATCCAATGGTTAAAGTCGAGTTCGTGAGAATTTTCAAATCTCTAAAACCACGTGAATCCGCTGGTTAGACCTGTTGCTAATATGATAAATTCCTCTAGACTGAAACGGAATGATAGCCATTCTACTTTCCTAAAGATGATCCTATTTAATTCAACTACGCCGTGATATCTGGAAATTAAGTCCTGGTTCCTTATGCAAAGGCCCCTTAAAATAATTTACATTTTATAATTCATTGTAGTATGTATATATAAAAAATGTGTAATGTGATGTTATTAGTTTTAAAGATTCTGAAACTTATTGTTAAGCTTTAAGTTAAAGTGATACAATAAAGAAAAATTGGTAAATAAAAAAATATTAATATTATTTAAAATTTATTGTTTTTATTACTTAATATTATGCAATATGTTGTATGGAAGAATGACTTAGTTAATTTTTATATTGTTACAATATTTAAAAAATA